GATAGTTGTATGTCAGAGCTGCACATCCTTCTAGTTGCTGTATGTGGGACGCGGCCTCAGCATGGCCGGAGAAGCAGTGCGTCGGTGCGCGCCCGGGATCCAAACCCGGACCGCCAGCAGCGGAGCGTGCGCACTTAACTGCTAAGCCACGGGGCCGGCCCTCATAGGGTTTTCATGGCCAATTTTTTTAGAAGTGGGTGGCCAGGTCCTTCTTCCTAGTCTGTCTAGTCTGGAAGCTCTGCTGAAACCTGTCTACCATGGGTGAACCCTGCTGGTATTTGAAATCCCGGTGGCATAGCTTTCAGCATCACAGCAACATGCAGCCACCATAGTATGACACCTGACAGATGGGTGATGTGGTTCCCTGACTGGGAAACAAACCTGGGCCATGGGAGTGAGAGCGCTGAATCTTAACGACTAGACCACCTGTTGTGCTTGTTACCAAATTAAATAATATGCAAAATTGTTCCTACGTAAAGTAAGCTGAATGCTTTAGAAAGACATAATAAAAGCAAACTGCTGAACACAAGTGTTATGTACTAGTTATGGGTGAAAGGGTATTGTAAAAGACTGGGAAATTAAATTGTAACAATCTGCTACTCAGATGGCTTCACAAAGTTTAAGATCTTGGTCCATTTTTAAAAATCCAAAATGGAAATTGTAGACATGTATTATCTATATAGTTTATGAAGAACGATAATTCAGAATGCCAATGTAGAAATTCATGATCAAAGAAAATGCTTTGGTTTTACATAACAATTAGTGAGTAAATGTAAAGTTATACTTTTTTATTTATTAAAATTGTACATATATCTTTTTCAGCTTCCCTGATTTACTAATTTTTAAAAAATTAGCCAACTGCCTGCTAGATAGTTACGAGAGAAAAAGCTTCCATTATACTATTAGTTTTGTGTCTACTGTGGACACAAAAGGTGATGAAATAATTACTTACCTAACATGGACCTCTGATGCAACTTCCATTAAATCACCATCTACATTCCAAGGAAAACTACTTTCTGAAGCAGTTTCATGCGGTCGATCCTGCTCCTCTGGATTATGTCCACTAGTATTATTCCTTGGGTGAACTTTTACTTCTTCAACAGTATAAGTCTCAATGAATGGAAAATTGAACTAAAGAAAACAAATGCAAATAATCATAGTACTTGCCTTATCCCTAACTGCTAATACAAATTAATAAAGTTCACTGTGCTGTCTCTTGCAAGTAAATATCAACATGTATGCTGATATTTTTATAGCTTTGAAACTATGACCAGGGATCCCTAATTTCTTTGGAAGCAGCCTCTTTTCTGAAGCTTTCCAGCTCATTTAGGTCTAGCAGCTGGCAAATTTCTTTTATGACAAATAATACATGTCTATGAAATTGCATACAATAATGATATCATAGAACTTCCTATTAAAGACTGAATCTTTAATACTGTTCTGTTGATACAGAAGATTTCTATAATCCTGATTTGATTATTAACTTGTCAACTAGTTTAGCCGATGTAAAGCAAACTCTAGTGTAAGTTTCACAATTGGAATTTAATTAGGAAGATCCTAGGTCTAAACTTAGGTGAAAAGAAAAAGTCAATCAAATGTGACTTTCACAGGTGTTTGCCTGCCTCATCTCCACTTGAAAGATGGACACAAGTTGCAAGATGATTGTGTTGCCCTACTGACCACTCTAGAATGGTGCAACGTAACCTTCAAATTTCAATTTTTCTTATTTGCCTAGGAAAACTATAGTGAAAAAAGATGTATTCTCTGAAACAACTGAGCCGAATAACTTTTTAGTAGAAATGCACAATAATTACTCATTTGTTTTCAGATAAACGGCATGAGGTTTATTCCTAACGTATTATCTACATGTTTGTTCCCCCTTCTTCCACATATAAACCTCAATGAAGCAAGAATTTTAAAAGTTGACAGAAAACTAATATTTTCCCCAACACTCTTATTTTACATATGTGGAAATCAAGGTCCACAGATTTTAGTTTATACTCTATAATACACTGGGTTCCACAGTGGATCATGCTGGGTTATACAGAGGCACCAGCTGTTCTGACTGAGGTACAAAGTTAGAGGGTCCCATGCAGCTCCCTGTGAAACTGCTTAACAGTCCCTGCGTTAGACTTCCCATCTCAGGTGTCAAGCCTTGGGGACATCTTCCATACTGTGCACTTACAAAAATTTCTATATAATAATTTATTGTAAAATTAATGTGTTTTAAATGAGTCATTGATAACTAGCTATTATGGGTTAAATTGTGTCCCCCATAAAGATACAAAACTCATACCTCCTAGTACCTGTGAATGTCACCTTTGGACATAGGGTCTTTTCAGAGGTAATAAGTTAAGATGAAGTCATTAGGATGGACCCTAATCCAATATGACTGGTGTCCTTATAAGAGAGGAGAATGCCATGTGAAGACAGAGTCAGAGACTGGAGCGATGCAGTTACAAGCCAAGGAATGTTGAGAACGGATGGCCACCACCAACCAGCAAGTCTGTTAAATCATCAGTTTTCATGTGCATACATCACAAAATGAAATCCATCCATCCACATAAATTTATTACCTATGAAGCCACAGACATTGTTAGAAGGGACTTTAGGGAGCCAAGAGCTTAATGTCATGTGTGAGGGTATGTTTGGGGCATGAGGAAGAGAAGTAAACAGCTACAATTGTGATACATATAAGTGTCATGATGGTGTAAGCAGAGTTAAGTGAGAGAAAGGAGAAGAGGCAGAGAGGCTCAGGATGTTGGGTCAGCTTTCCATTTAAGCTGAATCTTAAAGAACACAGAAGAGAGCCTGGGAGAGAAGGGAAGAAGTTCTGGAGAGAAAAAACATTTGCAAAAGTACAGAGATATGTTACGGTCAAGAAACTACAAAAAATTCAGCATACTGTGATACTGATTGTAATACTGGTATTTTGGCATTTATTTTACAGAATATATAAATGCCTGAACTTAATTTTTAAAAATAGACATATATGAGGTACTGGCTGAATTGCATTCCCCTCTCCCCCCAAAACAAAATTTCCTATGTTGAAGTCCTAATCTCCAGTACCTCAGAGTATAACCATATTTAGAGATAAAGTCTTTAAGAGGTGATTAAGTTAAAATAAGGTCTTTAGGGTAGGCCCTAATCCAGTATGACTGATGTCCTTATAAGAAGAGGAAACAGGGACATACAGAAAGATACCAGGGATGCTCACACACAGAGGAAAAACCATATGAGGACGCCGCCAGAAGACAGCCATCTGCAAGCCAAGGAGAGAGGCCTCAAGAGAAAGCAAACCTTCCAACATCTTCTTGCACTTCTAGCCTTTGGAATTGTGAAAAAATAAATTTCTGTGTTTAAGGCTCCCAGTCTGTGGTATTTGTTATGGCAGCCCTAGAAAACTAACACATGACAAAAACACAGGAAATCTGGTAGAGGATGGCAAGAGGGGAGGCTGTAACATAGCAAGGGCCAGAAAACAAAGGGCCATGTATTCCACACTGAGGAATCAGATGTTACCCTGACAGCAATGAGAAAGACATTGAAGAATTAAGCTGAAGAGAAATCAGATGTGTGTTTTAGAAAAATCCCTCTAGAAGGAGGTGTGGAAGACCAGACCAGAGAAAAGGAAGACCAGAAGGAGGCTATTGCAAGCAAGAAGAGATTAAGGTTTGAATTAAGATGAGGGAGAAATTTCAGAAACATTTAAGAGGAAAACCAATAGAACTGCTTAGTTGGATGGGTTGTGAGGAATGAGGGAGCGAGAAGAATACAGAGTAACTCCTGGGTGGGTACAGAGTGGTGCCATTGTCTTGGGTAGGGAAACATGGAAGGAGTAGCTTGAGGGGGAAAGATGATAGGGTCAGCTATGGACATGCTGGACTCAAGATGCCTGTGAGTTTTATAACCTCCTCACACAGGAAGGCACAGGGGTCCTGCAGACCAGAAGAGAAGATAGAACCCTTGAAGTGTGCAAAGCTCAAATAGCAGTTCCAACAACGGGGGACAATGAGATCACCCAGGAGAAGTATCATGAGAAAACAAGAGGGCTGCAACCAATCCCTAGGGAAGCACTAACATTCATGGGCTTTAAACTTCCTACTAAAAATGATGGTCAAAGTGAATGTAGAAATGTATGGACAGTGAAAATAGAGGCCAGCTGCAGGATGGAATTTAAAGGACTTGAAAGGTAATTTTTTTTTTTTTGTGAGGAAGATCGGCCCTGAGCTAACATCTGCCAATCCTCCTCTTTTATTTGCTGAGGAAGACTGGCCCTGGGCTAACATCAATGCCCATCTTCCTCCACTTTATATGGGACGCCGCCACAGCATGGCTTGCCAAGCAGTGTGTCGGTGCACGCCAAGGATCCGAACCGGCGAACCCTGGGCCGCTGCAGCGGAGAGCACTTAACCACTTGCGCCACCGGGCCGGCCCAAAGGGTAATTTTTATCTGTTTTACACAGAGATGGGGAAGGCAAGATGAGTCACCCACAAATGATTGTTTTCAATATGTCCTACAATTATTAAGACATATGAACATTCAGTTCAACCAGGTAAAGATGGTTCAGAGACCTAGAATGTTGCTTTCCTTAAGCTGAAGTTTTCCTTCCTGGACACCAGAACAGCTACTAATTAGACAGTAGATTATATAATCTTACAGTTATCTGGTCTTTATAATATTACACAATTTATATAAATTTACATTTTTGAAAATGTCAGCATGAAGAAGTATACACACACACATGTATATGTGTGTATGTGTGTCTATAAATTTTTAACAAATATATCAAATTAACATTGCTTGAAAGTAGTCACCTTGGAATCAATCTAATTATTCTTCATCTATACCATTATGCAAAACATTTTAGAATTTCTTCACAAGAAATTACAGAGCAACGGCATGGACTTTAATTTTTATAAAGAGCTAAGTCAATCAGAGTTAAGCCTAATGAACCACACACACACACGCATGCACACACACGCATGCGCACACACACAGAGGCAATAGTTCCCTGCATCAGAAACAAGATATAACTGGTAAAGTACATAGGAAAAATACGTTATAATATATCTTGCATAACATGATCTCATTTTTTAAAAACAATTATTTTCCTGTAGATATAGAGTTATATTCACTAAGTCTTTATTTTATAGTAAGCAGCTACTACTTTTAAAATCAGAATAAAGCTATTTTCATATTGAAAAAAAAGAAGTCTACCAAAATTGCCTTAGAAATTTGCCCTTAGGCAATTCCAAAAGAGACCTTCCATAAATAATTTGTGCAATAGATGCTTCCCTAGAATAAATATAGAGCTTCTCAGGGTAAGTACCTTAAGGTTAATATTCATTTCAGTTCTCATTTAATAGAAAATGATTAGGAAAAATTTCTACCAAAGTAAAATATGATTATCTCTTGGGATACGGAATTTTGCATGCCTTTTATGTTGTTTTTTTGTTTCTGTTTTCTTACTTAGAAAAAAATGAACATACACTACTTTTGGATTAAGCAATAAAGTCGGTTTTAATGTTTAAAACTTAAGTAACATCTGAAAAGGCATCCATTCCTTTAAAAATCAATAAATCACTATATTTCCCATAACACACACACATAAATTTATTACTTAGGCTCACAACCTACTTTTTAGTTGCTTTTGTCTACCACGTCTCCTTAGACACTTACATTGAAGGAAAGTGGGACTGTATCTAATTTTTATAATAAAATTTCCTAAACACTTCAGTTGGTTGCTCAATACACATTGATCAAATAATGTACTATGCAGTAGAGAAGTGAAACTTCATGAGGACTTCCCAAGAAAGTTTAAAATTATAAAGAGGCAAAAATGGGAACTTTGCGATAGCGAACTATGGAAGCAAGAAAGCTGCTAGTCATTGGCTAGATTTACTCTCCTCCTCCTCCCGTCTGGTGTCTCCCAACTACATCCAGCACCATTTTATACCTTTAAGAAGGTGTGAGACTTTAGGGTTTTACAACCATACTATGGACTTCAAGACTCACAATTTCGGAAATTCACATATTTCCAGCGTCAGTTTCCTAATAACTGGGTCAAAATATCTGCCAAAAGAATATCGCTTGTAATAATGGTTACTGCTGCTCTTTAAAACAAATCCTTTACGTAGAAACATTTTATCTATCTATCTCCACAAACATCACCACACATTCTAGTTTTGAATAAAATAATGTCTGTATAAAAATGGTGTATTTTTAAATATATATCTGCAACTCTATTTCAATCAACGAAGGTATGCAGATCTGTAAACAAACGGTAGGAAAATCTAAAGTTCATAACTAGAGAAAGTCTGCTGTCATAAAATCAAGAAGGCTAAATATCTCTGATTTAACTTTTCATTCTAAAGAACAGCTGAGTATGTAATTTTATCGTTCATTTACTTCATATTTCAATATAACACTACATTTTCTATTGTCTCTTTGCGCGTGCGCACGCGCGCGCGCACACACACACACACGCACAGAATGTATATAACCACCAACCCATAGCTCAAAAAAGACCAATCTATATTAATACTGATGGATACTTTTGAAAATTTGGGGAAAACACAAATTGAAAACAAAAATTAATGTATTCAGAAGAAAATAAAGTCTTCTTATGAGGCAGGGCTTGATGTCAACTTCTTCTCTCTCCATGACTAATAGCTTTGCATGTAAGTAACAAAAATAATTTACTCTACCTGATTTTTAACACTGGCATATCTTTTCAGGTGTTTTATAAATTCTGGTCGAGAAGTGTTTCGCGCAATTATAAGAGCCATACTTCCATTATTTAATCTGAAATTAAATATTTGTATTTGACATTAAAAAGTTTAAGAGATTGCATCTGAAATTACCAGTATATCATTCTTTCTAACAAATATAATGCTTACCAGAAGTTTTAGGCAAGACAGATAAATTATCATCATCACATTAAATTTACCTAAAATTCTTACATCATATCTTGCTGTGCTGTTTTTTAAATGACACAGCCTTTCAAGTTAGTTTTATTAAACAATTGGCCTCCTTCTCGGCAAGCTCGTACATTAAGGGCTTTTTAAAAAACAAGCCATCATGCATCCTATTCACATATCCAGACACAATTTAAAATCCAATGTATTTAACTTAGGGATTCTAAATGGGAAATCATATATGTTTTTCAAAGATGTACTGTAAATAATAAACACAAATGGTATAACTAATTCAATACTTTCTAAAATCTAAAGTGTGATTTAAATATTCATTTACGGGTAAGTCTAAGTGACACAGGAAACTAAATAAATCAAAGTGGCCCTTGGATAGATGAAATGGAATGAATAAATGCTGCCAAACGTTTTCAGTTAAATGACCGAGTATTTTAATCGTGCATAACTGTTCGGTTCAATATAAGAGACTGTAAATTTAGAGGTGTGATTTAGTGTCAAAAAAGCCACTCACAAATGCATCTAGTTTTAGAAGGTAGTTTGCAGAAATACATGTAAATGATTTCTAGCTCGATTTCAGTCAAATATAAAGTTATTCCAAGAATAACAACAACAACATAAAGAAGAGCTCTTTAAATCTTAGGGAAGCTCAGGTTAGAGCTCTAAGGGACTATGGAGATTTTCCAGTCATTCACTCAGTCTATGTAGAAGGAAAAGACAACTCCAAGTTTAAGTGATTTGTTTAAAGGCACATGGAGAAAAACAAAATGCTCGCTGGAACCAGAGCTCGTAATTCCCAGGGTCCAATGCTCCTTTTACCCGTCATGCCACCTCTTCCCAACTGGAAATAAATGGTACCAAAACGTTCAGAGTAGTGTTTTGTGTGTCCCTTATTTTTACTGATAAACATAAAAAGCATTTCATATGTCTACTTTTCAATACTTATCAGTAATTGAAACATACCCTATGTGCCTGGCACTGTTCTAAACGTTTCACATATATTACTGCACTTAACGTTAGAAAACTTAGAATATAAGAATATTAGCGCCTATCAGCAATCTGCACTAAGGTATTTTGAAGTAAATTATACTTTATTGTGAAAAAATAAGTAAAGCTGAAAGTTGAAACTCTTGTGCAATTGTCCTGAGTCACGCAGAAGATAAATCTCTGAATATCTCTGGTCAGCTGAGGCCTGGTATAAAGCCTTCGTAAAAATGGCATGACTGATTATAACCCATAGAAGAAATATCTAACTGGTTCTGAAAAATTCATCAATACTGATTAAACCTGGAGAGTAAGCATAGGAATTCAAGGCAAGCTGAAAAATGTATGGAAAAGCATGAATCAACGGTTTCTGGAAGAGCAGGCTGGCTCTCATGGAGGTCCTTGAGCAAACACAAGAGTCAGAGATGGAGTAGGGTTAGAGAAGCACTGTCTCAAGTCCTCAGAGCACAGCTCTAGTCCGCTAGCCAGGTCTTCACTTTTAGTGGGAGAAACTACATTAGGGAGGCCCACAGCTGTCTAGGATTTCTGAGGGTTTGGGGAGGACACAATCAGGCTCCATTTCTAAATCACACAAGTTTCAAAAGACTCCTTTCAAGTTTCAGCACTAGAGATAATTAATGAGGACCCTGTCATCTGGATTTTTAATAACGTTTGTAGTTTCCCCTTTTTTCTCTAACTTTAGATACTTCCCTGTTTATTACCTTCATATCAATCGCCAAGAAAAAAACTTAAAATCAATCCCCTTTGCTAGCTGTTAATCACTCTGGTTAAATATTTTGCAGGGAAGTTGAAACTAATCATTAAAATGATGTTATAAATCATCAGAGTACATAAGTCATTTTTTTATTCCACTTTTGGGAAAAATCAAGATTTGACTATATTACACAATATTTATGATCCTTTCTTCTATGCTCTACAGGAATGGGAGAGAAATATTTTCAACCAATAATGGACAGCTGCTTGAAAAGAATGTGCAAGAGGCAGAATAGCTATATGTTGTGGATAAAATGATATATAAAGTGCCTCATGAAAATATGGGCAGTAGAGTGACCTCAGTGTCATGGCGGAGTGAGCTTTTCCGTAAACTCTTCCCCCATAAGATACAACAAAAGGAACAGTCATAGCCCAACAATGGAATCCTAGACAGTGAAAAGCAAGATCGGAAAGATCCACACTGCCGCACATCTGAGAGTGGAATGTGCTGGGCCCCCAGAGGAAGTGAGGAGAGGTAAGGAGAACTCCTCTCCCTCCCCATCAGATCAGCGATCCTGGTCTGCGTGGCTCCCAGAGATGGGGGAGGAGCGGCCCTCTGCGGGGAAACTGTAGCTCTTCAGGCTCTCTCAGCCAGTGGGAAACTCCCACACAGAGGACTCAGAACTGCTACGGGGTACCATCAACATCTGAGCATCCCACAGAGCGGATAATGAGGGGCGAACGAGAAGCCCCCCATGCCAGGGACCCAGCGGGCAAAAGAGAGAGCCTCCCCCACTTCCCAGCAAACCAGCCCCTGCAGCTCAGCCCACCAGACCAGACCAAGCCACCCGCGGATGCCAGCGAAAAACCACAGCAGAGCACAGGAGGCTAACATTGCACAGCCCTTTACCCCCACACAGTGGCTGCGGGTGGAAATTGCAACCAGAGATTTCCAGGATGAGGAAAAACAAAGCCAATACAGGAACCACATGCAAAGATACATGAAATCACCAGACCAGAAGGAAAATGACAAGCACCCAGAAACCAACCCTGAAGACACAGAAATCCATAACCTAAATGACAGAGATTTCAAAATAGCTATCATAAAAACACTCAACGAAATACGAGACAACACAGACAAACAATTCAATGAGATTAGGAGTTTCTTCACAAAAGAGATTGAAATCACAAAGAAAAAACAATCAGTGCTGATAGAGATGAAGAACACAATGGAGGAGATAAAGGAGAATATGGAATCTTTAAAGAACAGAGCTGACAATATGGAGGAAATAATTAGCATTTTAGAGGATAGGAATACAGATATGCTCCAGATGGAAGAGGAGAGAGAACTAAGACTAAAAAGAAATGAAGAAAATCTCCAAGAAATATCTGACTCTATTAGAAAATGTAACATGAGAATTATAGGTATTCCTGAGGGAGAAGAAAGGGAAAGAGGAACAGAGAGCTTATTCGAGGAAATAATAGCTGAGAATTTCCCAAATCTGGAGAAGGAACAGGAAATACCAGTAAGCGAAGCCAACAGGTCACCTAAATATGTCAACAGGCAAAGGCCCTCTCCACGACACCTAGTGGTAAGGCTAGCCAGAGTCAATGACAAAGAAACAATATTAAGGGCAGCTAGACA